AACATTCCTTATGCCTTTACTAGTGTTTCAGTTAATTACTGTTCAGAGCACCCCAAAAGGTACTGCCTTTAAACAATAAATGTTTTGTTAACTCACGACTCGGGAGTCTGGCTCAGGAATTCAGTGGGGGTGCAGTATAGGCAGCTCATCTCCACACCGTGATGGCTGGGCCCTGGCTAGGATGGCCCACTAGGGCCACATGTCTCAGAACACAGCAATAGCTTTAGAACCTCCTAATAAAAATAAGATGACCATGAAGTGGGAAAGAAGGTGGAAGGTAAGAAAGCTGGAGCAGAAAGAAGACTGTTGGCCTGTCACTTCTCCTCCTGGCTGACTTAGGCTTCCTCATGGATGGTAATCTTAGAAGAGGGGCATTCCAAGAGAGCAGGCCTCTATAAGCAAGCCTTTACTTGCACCGTACTTCCTGTGTCATTGGCCAAAAAGCAAGTCATATGGCTGAGCAGCACCAATATGGGAGGGGACCACACCAGGCCCTGGATATGGGAGGTATGGTTCATTGGGATTACTTAGGTTAGGGATAGATTAGCTTAATGTAACTAGAGATTAAAAATTACTTCCAGAACCAGACACAGTGGAATGTATCTGTAGTCCTATGTGCTCAGGAAACCGAGGCATGAAGATCAATTGCTCCCAGGAATTCAAGGCTAAGTGTGTGGGGGGTGGGGGGGCACACAATGACAAGGGACCAGAATGTAGCACCGTAGGTTAAAATCCTTCCTCAGGCCCTGAACTGCCTGCCCCCTTGAGGCAATTGAAAACTAGTTTCTTAACCTGTCTACTACTGCTTTCTGAAAATTAATTGCCTTAAAGTGAAAAAAATGGCACCAAATTCTGAACTCAACACTTGGATTTAGATTCCTCAGATTATACTAAAGTTCTAACTGTTCCAGAAAAGGTATCCATCCTCAGCTGGGTATAGTAGCCATTGCCTATAATCCCAGCAACTTGGGAGAATGAGGCAGGAGGATTGCAATGTTGTGGCCAACCTCAGCAATTTATCGAACTCCTGTCTCAAAACTAAAAGGGGCTTGGGATGTAGCCCAGTGATGCAACCCCTGGGTTCAATCCACTGTACCAAAAAGAGAAAGAAAAGGTATTCCCCACCATGTCCACCTCAGGTATGATTCATAGAAGACAATGGAATAGGAAAATCTTACAGAAACAGAAACTTACAGATTGATTGACCAAGGCAATGGAAGCCTTGCTGTAATTATTTGCTATGTATTATGGTCCAGTGACCACTGCGTGGTTCCCATTTTCTCTGTTTCTGAATGAGTATTGTCAACACCTTACCTTGTTCCATGTCCAGGCTAATGTATTAGGACTGAGGCAGATTCCTTTTCTTTAGATATTGATTGCTGGCTATGCAGATCCTCCTTCTCCGTGGGGAGTACCCCTGACACCACCAGGACTCTTGGATCCTGGACTCACTTCATGGCAATGACTGGATGTCACTCTGCGTTTCCCTAAGGAGAGAACTAGTATATTCCTTGTATGAAAAATGAAAAGAAGGTTGAACTAGAGAAGATACCTGCTTGTTGCCTTTTCTGATTCCCCCTCCCCCTTTTTGGAGGCGGGTGGCAATGTGCTGGCTGACACATTCCTTTCCCTAGATCCCATGGGTGTGCACGAGATGCAGTGGGGGGACATGTGCTCAAGATTTCCAGGAAGGCACTTCCTTTCCTAATACAGAGCCACCTCTTCCGTTTCTTCTTTTTCTCTCTCTCCTGGAATACTGACCTGCAGATGGAGATAGACTTGTGTGACAAAAATAAAGGTGAATACCATGTGGAAAATATGAAGATGAAAGCTAATGATGCCGGGACAGGAGAAGGAACCTGAGCCACTCATAGCATTCTCAGGCAGCTGCCGAGCCTGGCAGTGGCTACTTTTGAGTTATTAGAGTACTCTTGAGTTATGTCTGAGAAATAAGTCCTCATTGGTTTATACTATTTGCTGGTAAGTGTAGCTGAATGTAGTCTTGGTTGACTCATTATTGTAAGTTGCCTTCTGACTA